TTTCAGTTCTCTCCATGTGAGCTTAGCTTGCATTAATAGAGGTCTTCATTTACTTCACAGTCTGAGTTGCTGTTTTTCACATGGTATCAGAGCACAAGAGATTGCTCGCAAGTTTTGCTTCGCATTAAATCCACTTCGTGAGCTCATTTTTCCTCTAATTGTTCATTATTTTTCCTGCATTCTGAATTCATTTACTGTTTCTGCCATTTTCGATCTTCCTCCGATCCTTTGATCGATTAGAGTTTTCCTCTTGTTTGATTGGGAAAGATTGGATCCGTAGTTTGTTGTTGTTTGTCTGATGTTGACTAAGAAGAATTGGATTTGTAGTTTGTTGTTGTTTGTCTGTTGTTTACGATCTTTGAAACACCACCATGGTCGACATACAAGCTGATCCTACTTCAAGTTCTTCACATCTTCTAGCTGATTCTACATCAGTTTGAATGGATTTCTCTAGCCCTTTCTATCTGCACCAGTCGGAGATTGCTGGATCCTCTTTGTTACCTGATGTGTTTGATGATGGTGGTTATAGATCATGGAGAAAAGTTGTCCTTGGAACCTTATCAGTAAGGCAAGACAGGATTCATCAATGGAGCACTGGTGCGACCTGATCCTACTGATCCCAGTTTTCTACAGTGGGAAAGGTGTGACGACATGGTAACATCTTGGATCCTGAACTCATTGTCCCCTGATTTACGTGACAACCTGCAGTATGTGAACAATGCAAAGGAACTTTGGGCAGAGTTGGAAGAAAGGTATGACCAAACGAATAGATACAAGTTGTATCAGCTACAAATTAAGGAGATAAATGACCTCGTCCAAGGTGTTTTAGATATTACTGGCTATTACACAAAAATGAAGAAGTTGTGGGAAGATATGAACACTATTGATATTAGTTCCCATTGTACCTGTGTGTGCACTTGTGGTGGTAAGACCAAGTTGCACAAAGTTGAACAGGACATGAGACTAATACATTTTTAATGGGGCTAAACAAGATGTATACAACCATTAGAGGCAATATTCTCATGATGAGCACACTTCCCAACATGGCACAGGCCTTTGCCATTCTATCCCAAGAGGAAAAACAAAGGGAGATGAAGCCTCACAACCACACAATGTTGGATTCCACCTCACTGAATGCATATGGCCAGTCTAACAATGGTACAAAACTCAAAAATCCCAGGACTAATTACAGTTCCACTATGGGAGGTGGAAATGGGCCTGGTAATCACAATAACAACAAAAACACTATGTTTAGAGGCAGTTCTAGCACTAACAAGTCCTCACTATTCTGTGACTACTGTAAAAGATCAGGACACACAAATGACAGGTGCTACAAACTTCATGGATACCCATCCAACTTAAGGTTTCCGAAGGGAAAAGGTTCAGGTTCTACATGAAATGTATATGCTTCTGAGATGAGTAAGTACCAGAGCGAGGAAGATCCTAAATTGAAGAGGCAAATGCCATTGAATTTGTCTAAGAACTAATATGAACAGTTGCTTAATCTCTTGGGAACTCTAGAAGTTGGAAATGGAGGCACTAACTCAGATAATTCTGACAACATGATGAATGGAGCTGTGAACTTGGCAGGTATACTTGCTTGCTACTCTTCTATAAATGAAATAGGTGATATATCTTGTAGGTGTGTTAAATTAGCTGCTGACTCTTGGATCATAGATTCGGGAGCATCTCATCGTATGACCTACAATAAAATCACACTCACAAACATCAAACCACTCTCATATCCTTTCTTAATTTCTCTACCTAATGGTTTACAAAGTTAAAGTGACTAAAATTGGTGATGTTAGTCTATGTTCAACACTAACTCTTAACAAAGTATTGTTTGTACCAAGTTTCAAGTTTAATCTCTTCTGCTGAGATCACCTCATCCCATGTAAAATGCCATCTTGTTCCTCATGTAGTCAATATTGACAAAGATTCATATCCTAATAAATGTTCTGTCAAACATTCTGATTCTATCAATAAAAATGGTTGTTCTACTGTCAGTTCTCTTGTTTGTGTGCTATTACTTTCAATCACACTCATGATGATGAACTCTTATGGCATGCTAGACTAGGACATGTACCTTTTGTGAAAATGAAAAATATTTCCACCATACCTGTCAATTTTTCTCCCAAACAACCTTTCAATTGTACCATATACACAATGGCTAGGCAGACCAGACTTCCATTCCCTGAAAGTACCACCACCATTACTAAGGTGTTTGATTTGCTACACATTGATCTACGGAACCATACCACACTCCCACCTATGATGGTTACCATTATTTTCTAACCATGGTGGATGACTATAGTAGGTCCACATGGACACAATTGCTCAGATGCAAAAGTAATGCCCTGCAAACTATCAAAGCTTTTACATCCTTCATAGAAAATCAATTCCAAACTAAGTTGAAAGTCATAAGATCTGACAATGGTTTAGAGTTTACATCAGTAGAAGCTACATGTTTCTTTCAAACAAAAGGAATACTACACCAAAAAATTTGTCCCTACACACCTCAACAAAATGGCGTGGTAGAAAGGAAACATAAGTATCTCCTTGAAACAGCAAGGGCACTTCT